GCGGAGGAGAGAGGAAAGGCAGGCATCACTGGCAGAGTCATTTATTCCTTCACCCACTCACTCTCACGTCCACATTTGTTCAGTCCACACATATTTAGTGAGCATCAACTATGCACCAGGACTGCCATAGGCTCTGGGGACACAGTAAGGACAAGACAGCAGCTCTTGTGGAACTGACGTTCTAGTGGGGGAGAGCGATAACAGACAAATAAACAAATAAAAATAAGAGGTAGTTTCCAAAAGTGATAAAAATAAAATAGAGTAGGGTAACAGGGAGATGGGGCAACATTACACGTGGTGGCAGGAAGGTGATGCCCACCCTGCGGGCTCAGGTCAGACTCCCAGAAGCAGATGTGAAGATGGAGGCTTGCATGCAGGAAGCTTGCTGGGCCCACTCGGGGCTCAGTGCCCCACGGTGAGTGAGACAGGCAGCGGGGAGTGCAGGGAGAGTTAGTCAGCGGACCCCCAGGGAATTCTGGAGCAAATAGCCTTTCACAGTTGTCCCAGCTGGAGGCAACAGGGCCAGACCTTGGTACTGTTGCCCCCAATGACCAGCCATTGGGTAGCTGCCTCCAGGGAGGAGCAAGACGTAGGGCAAGCCAGCTGTCTCCAGTGGAGTCATTCCACAGATCTCTACCGAGAGCTGCTGCCATCAACACTCTCTGCAGTGGGGTGATGAGGACCTCAGCCCTGAAGGGGTTCTGGGTGGCACACCTCAGCATCCACCGGGTGTGCTAAGATCAGGAGGAAGAACAGAGGGAACAGCAAGCACAAAATCCCGAGGCAGAAATGAACTTAGCCTGACTAAGGCACAGAAAGAAGGCCAGCATGGCCAGAGTGTGCAGAGTGAAGCAGTCAGAGAGGCAGGCAAAGTCCAACCCAGAGGGCTTGTGACCCAGGGAACTGTAGTGTAAAGGGCCGCCCCAGGAGGGCTTTAAGAAGAGGGTGATCTGGCAGTCACCTATGAACATTACTCTGGCATCTGGGTGGAGAAGGGGAGGAAAGAGGGGGAGGGCAGGGGAACAGTTGGGAAGTGGTGGGAGGGGTCCAGTTGATGATCACTAGTGGCTTAACTAGGGCAAGGACAATGGTGTCTTAGTTAAAGGAGTAAGAATTGAGGGAAGCCTGGGATGCTACAGGGGCTCACAGAGAGGGCTCCAGGTAAATCCTGGCTGACATGGGATGTTACAGAGATGCTTCTAGCATCTCATGGGGGATATTAAACCAGATGAATTTAATTTTCCCCAACCTTAAGATCCTGAAATTTGTGGACTGGGGAAGGAAGCTCAGCAATCCCCTTCCCAAAATTATTGGCTAGTGGTTATGCAGCCCCTGCTGGGCCCTGCAGGGGACCAGGAGCTTGCTCTCGCCATGGATCACTCTGCTGGGAAGTTCTGAGAGCTGCCTCCCTGCCTCTCCCCAAAGCTGAGTACATGGCTCATGTCTCCACTTCCACCCCATGTCTTCTTACCTTATGAGTTTTCGTGGGAAGGATCTCAGATGGTGTCCCCTCCCTGCCCCAAGCCTGGTTCCTTGCCTGTCCATGAATTCATTGCTGTGATATGCATATGATTCCAGAAAGGTATGGAGAAAAGTCATTTTGTAGAATTTGTAGAAGTACATTTTCTTCCTAGGCCTGATGCTGTGGAGGCATAACCAGGCTAGGAGTTAGGAAAGCTGGGTTCTAACCTGCCTGTGTGACCTTGGGCCAATCACTTCTACTTTCTAGACTTCATGCTCCTCTGTAAATGCGGCTGGCCAACTGGGTGGTATTTAAGAGCTGGACCAAAATATCGTGAGTCCATGTGTAGATTCACTCTTGTTCATTCTTCAAAGCCTGAGCCAAGGAATTTTCTGTTTCCTGTTCCTCTGACTCCTAGAGTCAGAGAATTCCAGAATGTTGGGGCTACAAAGGCCTTTAAAAGTCTAACCAGCTTCCCCTGCTCCATGCCACCTGCTTTATTGCACTTTGTTTCAACATTACCATCAGTTGATTGTCTACCTTCAAAGCTTGTACACCTCCAGACCTGGGGCGCTTACTACCTAAGGTAGGACAGTTCTATTAGAAAGTTCTTCAGCTAAGCACAAAGTTTTTATGATTCTATCATTCAACAATATTTATTGAGCCTCCATTCAAATGGAGCAAGGCACTTACAGCCAACTGATGGAGCAAAATTACAATTATGATGGTAGTTTATGTGCTTTGAGCACTTACTGTGGCCTGCACTATACTAAGCACAGCACGTACACCATCTCATTTAATCACCACAGTTGCCTCCTAGTTTACAAATGAGCAAATGAGGGTTAGAGAGTATGTGAGACCGGATCCCAGCAGGAAAAAGATGACAACTGAAGGGTTTTTTGAAGAGAGTTTACAGAGGTGAGGGAAAGGTTACAAAAACCTACAAGGGATAGTGCAGAGCCCCAAGGTTAGCAACAATGGGGAGCTGTTATCAGCTATAGGTCTGAAGGGGGAAGGGTTGCCCCTAGCACCCAGTGA